CCCCTACTCTCATCCTACCTCATCTCTTATTCTACTCCTACTCTACTATTATTTTATTCTAAATTTCCCCTATTTGTATTCCACCCTTCTCCTACTCTCACAATTATTCTCTTATATTCATATTCTATTCCTTTTCTACTTCTCTCCTCTTATTCCCTCTCAACTCTTACTATACTCTTCTCTTACTCCTCTCTTTCTCCTACTCTACTATTATTCTCCCCCCCTATGTCTACCCTTATTCTACTCTACCGCCATTTTATTCTTCTATTATTCTACTCTTATACCTCTCTCCTTTTACTCTATTCCTATTTCTTTCTCTTACCTCACTCCTGTTTGACTCTTACTCTTCATTCAACTCTACTCCTCTCCTCTTCTACTCTTCTCTTACCCCACTTATCTTTTACTTTATCACTACTTCCTTCTCTTACCCTTATCTATTATCCTACTCTTAACCTCTTCTACCTCTCTCCCCTTCTACTCTTCTCATATTCTTACTCTCATCACCACTCTTATCCATATCTCATATCCTCCTCCCACCCTCATCCTTATCTCATATCCTCCTCCCACCCTCATCCCTTATCCTCCACTCATCTTCTCTCCAGCACCTCATTTATTCCACTCATTTTCTATTATTCTATCCTCCCTCTCTTATCCCACTCTATACCCCTCTATTTCCTTTATCTCCTTTACCTCACACCCCCATCACTACCCTTTCTTCCACTTCTCTTCTATTACCCTACTTCACTCTTAATTCTTCCCCCTCCATTATATTACAGCACCCTTCTCCTCTCCTTATTCTACCCGCATCCTCCATTTCCTCTCCTTCACTCCATCAATTCATCGCCACACCCCTCGCTACTCGTTTCCCTCTCTCATTTCCTCCTCTCCCTTCCAGCTATCACCCTCTCTTACTCTCCTTTCCAATTTTTGCTCTCTTCTCTCCTTCGCTCCATCATCATACCCTCTCTATCCCTTTCTTTCCATCAGTTCATCTGCTCCCCTTTCATTTTATCACTCCACCCCGGTTCCTATCGTCCTACTGCCCTGTTCAGCTCACTTTATTTAATACCTGCCCCTTTGAAGTGATATACTCTCTTCAGCTACTCTCTAATCTTACTCTCGAGTCTTACTCTCTAATCTTACCCTCTAGTCACCCTCTTGTTATTCTCTTGTTACCCTAAGTGCCTACTCTTTGTATTTGCTCCCTAATGTTACTCTTTGTACTTACTCTCTATAGTTACTCTCTATACCCACTCACTAATTACCCCTATTGTAGCTCTCTACAGCTTACTCTTACTGAATATCTCATCATTCCATCCAATGCTTGTGAAATTTATCTATATGAAACCTCCTGATGCTTACCTTTCAAATGATATATCGAAGTGTACGTTTTGGCTGATTTAAGTACGATGTATACTTTGCCATATTTTTAATTGTATCAATGTCTGTACATTTAATTACATATATATATCTCTGCATGTAAACAGATATTTGTTTTTATATATACTTCATTTATATATTCCGATATTCCGATATTCCGATATATATATGTTTACGAATACTCTACTTATATCTATATATTTATATATTTGGATATACATATATACGTATATATGTCTACGAATACTCTACTTACTTCCATCCTGTTTAACCACCTTTAAGGTAAGTACCTGCATGTAGACTCTCCGTGTAACTTGCTATACCGCCCACCATGTGAACGTTACGCCTAGTATATCCCAACCATTACTGTTTCATCTATCGTTATAATTACTTTTAACGACACCACTTATTCTAATTTAGCTCATCCACTTTTTTGACCTTGTTAGCCTATATACCCATTCACTTTGATACATCTCTTTGCCCTGGGTTGGACTGTTGAGATAAGTGCCTGCTGATAGCCTCTACTCCTTATTATGCAACTTACTATGCAGTTTACTTTGCAGCCTACCCCAAGACCACTGCATCTAGAGTATCTCAACCGATACTGTCCTATCTATATTAAATTCCATGTATCTATGTAGCTTACTGTTGCATCTACTGGCATTATAGGATGACTCTGGGTTTTTGCCACCCACCACGTGATCTGAGGAATGCATAATAGTTCGGTATGTCCGGGTACGCTCAAATGGTACGAAACGCATGGCGAGTAAGCCCTTCATACGGATTGGCAGGAACCCTGACAGACCCCACTACCTGCGTTGCATACATCATCCTAATCTCGCCTCCCGGACATATCTCTATCATCACCTCAGCGTACTAAGATTAATACCACATGTGAGAAGTACAGAATACGTTCCCCTTCCCAAAATCCTATAAAGGCTGAAATAACTGAACCATGTTATAGAAGCAGCACGTCGATCCCGTACCCCATTCGCTACTTTCACCTCTTTCGTTACTCTCTTGCAACCATGAATACGTGCAAAACTCCCCTTTTCAGCTACATCCTTTCGTTAGAAATTGTCGAGGAGATCTTCTCCTACTTACCGCTTCCCACAGTCGTCGAAGTGATGGAATCGGAGAATGCCAGTATTACTTCGGTAGTACGGAAACGCTACTATTCGAACGTTGCATTGAACTTTGGCGAACCGCCATGCGAAGATGGATACTCCCAAATTGATGATGAGGTTCTCAGCATGAAGTTTTCTGAGTTTGAAGCATTGGTAAATGGCGATACGTTCGATCAACTCCATATTGAAAAGTTTTTAATAGACGTACAGATGGATTTCATTGATTTTACATTCCTCCACAAAGAAGTGTTCACCAAAGCGTCTACAGTTGTCGCCGATGTGGTGTTAAAGTTCAGCACGAATCCAAAAGATCATGCGACATTCAGCTGGGACTGATTGCCATCGCTGCCCCTGGTGCAGGCGTGCATCCGAGAAATATCTGTTTCGTATTGTTTCATTGATCTGAAAGTTCCAGATTTGTCCTCCAACTTGTGCACGCTTTCCTTCAAAAACAATCATGACTATTGGTATGAGGAAGATGATCGTGATGCTACTGCTCCAAGGATTGTTTTCCCGCCAAATCTCCAAAAACTTGTTTCAGTTATCCCCTGGGGATCAATCTCTGCATATACCGACCCCCCTTCGACTTGGCAGAGATTGATGTTAGGATGTGTCTCGGACTTTTCTGTCGAGGCCTTCAACAAGCTAAACTTTCCCAATTTGAAATATTTGCGGTTGAATGACATTTATGATATGATGGAGATCAACGAGCTGTTTAATTTACCCCGCTATTGGAGAATTTGGAACTTGAGAATCTAGGCATTCACAACTTCGAACAAGGGAACTTACCTCTAGGGTTGCAGAAGTTGTCCATCACTAGGTGTCCTTTAAAGAAGTTTCGTGTGGAGACGTTTCCAGATTCCCTCAAAGAGTTGAAACTAAATAGAACTCAACTCATATCTTCCGATATCTGCATTATCAAGTTGTCTCTAAATTTAGTTTCGTTACTGGTTGAGAGTGGCCGGTTAACATCGCTAGATTTCATCAACATATTACCAGACTCTTTAGAATCCTTCTACCTCTTTGGTAATCCCCTTGGTCGTTTAAATGAAACAGATGAAGATATAGATACTGCCAGGTTATGCCAAATTAAATTCCCCAAGAGCCTCCAAAAACTTGATCTCAGAGGTAGTCAGTGTCTATTTACCATTTACTCTCCACGAAACCTTGTCTTCCCTCCGAATTTGAGGGGTTTAGACCTCAGCTACAAGAATATGAGTTCAGTCGAGAGATTAAAAAACTTCCCACCAGCATTGAACTTTTTAATCTTGAGTTACAATAATTTGGCCTCAATTGACGAGCTCAATCTTCTACTAGGATTGACTTCCCTAGACTTGGAACACAATAATTTGGTCTCAGTTAAAGGACTCCGTCTTCCACCGACATTGATCTCCTTATCATTGAAGAGCAAAGGTTTGGTCTCAGTTAAAGGACTTGAACTTCCGCCAGCGTTAACATCTTTAAACTTGTGCCATAACGACTTGGTGTCAGTCGACGGGCTTGATCTTCCACCAACCTTGACCTCTTTAGATTTGAGTTCCAATAGCCTAGTCTCAGTCAAGGAACTTGATCTTCCACCAGCTTTAACTCATCTATATTCGAGGGGTAATAAACTTCAACGGTTTTCGAAGATATTATCGGAAAGCATTCAATCTTTAAACCTTGGGTATAATCGACTTAAAAAAATGGTGAACTTTCACTTTCCGGTAAATTGTACCAAGCTTGAGCTTTCAGACAATACTCTTCAAAAGCTCCAAATTTCCAATGCACATGATCCAAATCTAAAACTCCGAGATTTTTGTCTAAGTAGTGTAGCCATTACCACTCTCCGTGATATATTTCCCTTTCCGCAATATCTCACTAGCTTTTCGATATGCAACACTAACATTGGATCCTTGTCGAGAATCCTGTTCCCTACGGGGCTAACCCGCTTGTGTGCATCTAATATCAAGGTTACTTCATTGGAAAATGTTGAGTTTCCACCGCGTTTGGAGGAGTTAAGTCTCCCGAAGAATCAAATATCCAGCTTGGCCAATATCTGTTTTTCGGACAGTCTACTTGAATTGGAACTTAATGGTAACAAGTTTACGTCAATCAATGCCATAAAGCTTCCTCCAAAATTGAAGAAATTGGACTAAGAGAAACGCGATTGGCGTCATCTACGAGTTACAGTTGCCTGAATCCCTTGAGAGATTGAACTTGGCGGACCAAAAGCGTGGTTTTCTGCTTAACCGTACTCCCATACATGGAGAATTTTCAGATAGTTTCCATGAATCTGAGAAATACGGCTTATCCTGTCTCGCTGGGCTAACCAAATTTCCGCCAAAGTTGGAGTATTTAAATATAGAGCTAAACAGCTTGTCTGAGCAGGCCACCCGACACTTGGAGTTCCCAGTCAGCTCTATAAGACTAATCGGTGGTAATCCATTCGACAACTATCAACAGTGGAAAAGAGAAATCAGGCAGATACATCCGAGGACGTGGTTTGGTTAGCTAACTGGAATCTTGGGATAGATCCTTTCGGTTGGGCACTGGTCATGATGTAATGGGTAGCGAGAGTGGAGAATTGACGTAAGGAGAGAGGTTCATAGGATGTGATGCTTATTGAGGAATCGTTTATGGAAATCGATGCATTTATGTTGAAACCCTTTAGTTTCATGTAAGTGTACCTGCTTTATGCTTCATTCTTATCTTCACTTGCATCTTTCCAGGTTGAACAACCACATATAATCGGATTTACTGAAGAACTGATCGCCCTTTGAAAGCTACATGATAGCGGTCTTAATATTTACACTACAAGCTTGGTATCGCATCCTGGATAGCAGAAATATTAGCTTAGTTTGATGGACCTGCTCAGAACCACTATTTAAGCCACGAAGCAGTCACACCCCACTATTGACGCTTTTATTCTCCCAGGTTCAACAATACTGTCAGATATTTTTATGCTCTATCGAGATACTAGCTTAATCTGCAGATGTTTGTGGTCTGGCATGATCACCGCTCTATCCTGTGAAACCTACAAGTGCTCCATAGTTTAGGCCCCATACCTATAATTTCATCTAGTCTGAGTCATAAGTTTTATGGCCAACCAGGAGTTTTAATTTGTTTCATCTTGTTGTCGGTCTTTGTTGACATGAAAAACGGAAAATGTAGCAGCAAGTCCAAAAATACAGGCTTTGCGAACAGCTACAGGTGCTTACACTAGGACAAGACAAGGCGTCTTAAACGTACAGTTTCCATGATTCAAGAATTAAAGGAGTCGTATTTTACAATAATAAAGTAATTCAACGGGTATAGCTAAGAGAGACAGGTTGGGGGTTCTTAACACAGATTGACCCACTCAGTTACCGTAACATACTTTATTGGTAAGGAAGAGCTTGGAGCAGCGGACGTTGGAGCGGAAGAGCTTGGAGCAGCAGAAGTTGGAGTAGAAGAGCTCGAAACAGCGGAAGAGCTCGAAGAAGAGCTCGAGGCAACAGAGGAGCTCGAGGAAGAGGAAGAACTTGGAGCAGCGGAAGAGCTCGAGGAAGAGGAAGAGGAAGAACTTGGAGCAGCGGAAGAACTCGAGGAAGAGGAAGAGGAAGAGGAAGAGCTTGGAGCAGCAGAAGAACTCGAGGAAGAGGAAGAGGAAGAGGAAGAGCTTGAAACAACAGATGAAGATGAGGAAGAGCTTGGTGCAGCAGAGGAGGAAGAGGAAGTGCTTGAAACAACGGATGAGGAAGAGGAAGAGCTTGAAACAGCAGACGAAGATGAGGAAGAGGAAGAGGAAGAGGAAGACGAGGAAGAACTCGAGGACGAGGAAGAGGATGAACTCGAGGACGAAGAGGAAGAGCTCGAAGAGCTTGAGG